GTGGGGGTGGGGGTGGGGGTGGGGGTTCGAATTCGAGACACTCGGGCTACTGGCTCCTAGGGGCAAAATGCACAGGGATATAGCGTTCAAGGGTCCTTCCGTGCCCACATGAGGCATGGCAGCAGCTCGCTGCCGCAAAGGATCGGTGCTCAGGTGTTTAGGCTTCAGCTTTTCACAACTTCTGGGAATCGGACAGGAAGTAAGCTCGTTTGTTGTGTATTGTCTCTCGGCTTTGTATTCCCAAATCCCCTGTCAAGCAAATGCTGCTTGCCGATGAACTTCAAGGCTCTCGGTTTGGATGGCTGCAATGATTCAGTTCCCTAGACCCAAAACCACTACGCAAACAGTAAACCCGAAAACCGTAAGAAATAACTCTAACGTCCGCAGAAAGCTTCAGGAGTACGGGGCTTTTTGTCCGACCGGGTGCGTTCACTGTTGATTCCGGCTTCGGGGATGGTCAGTCGTGCTGCGAAGCTCTTTGGTTTCTTTGGCGGGGCCATGGGACACTTCTGGCACTCCTGGAGCCAGCCTGACGAACCGGACACCGGAAAGCACGGATCTGATATCATGTCAGGAGACACGGCTGATCGAACAGCGAATCGGCTGAGGGTCTCCGCGCTTCCAATTGGTCTACCAGAGCAACAGAGGCATAACGTAATGACATGCGCTGCTCTATAACCTAAAGACGTCCAACCCTGGAGCTTAAAACCCGACATCGAAGATCACTGAATGTGATTTACCAGGTCTGAATCCGAAACGCTTTGCCGCTCCACGCCCGGATTGTCTCTGATGCGCCCACATCACAGCTACGATGATCCAGAGGAAGATTCACGGGATCTCTTCAACAGATGCCTACAGGGATGTTGCAACCGAACAGTGTCAAGAACAACATCGTCGAAAAGAGGTTTGGCTGCAAAGAAACCGGCAGTCCCTCAGCTTCATGAACTCCTCGTGCCCTGCAGAGTGTCTGCCTGTGAAGACCCTGAACAACCTAAATCCGGAACCCTAGCATGTCCCACTTCATACCCTATACACAGCACAGAATCAAGCCGCAAAGTCTCCCCTGAGCCTCCAAGAAGAGCCCAGAAGCTACAGTAAACTCATTAAACCACTCCCGGACGGGAAGAAGCCCAGACCTGCCTGGCCTGGTCAGCGATGACCAGAGCTTTGGCCTGCTGTGGGTGCTCGGAAGTCGACTCTGCGCCGACCCTACGCTTTGGGCTTCAGGTCCTTCAGGCCCCATGGAACCTTGAGGGTGCAGTGGTCTAAATCTCAGCCTTGAGCCATGTGGTTCTGGACGGCCCGGGTGAAGTGGAATGGAAACCAAATGACCTGATGTTGCTCCGGGCTTTTGTTCAACGGCCGAACCTTCCTCTAATCGCCCTAATCCTGAAATCTGATCCCTAAAACACTATGTTCGGCAAAACTGAAAGGGGGCTTTTACAAAAGGGGGCTTTTTCGGGATTCAGGTTGGTCGACAACTAGGGTTGGTGAAATCGGACGTCTACCGGCAGAAGGTCAGGACGATCGAGGTGGCTTCGCAAGGGGGACGTTTTGCAAA